CTATCTTGGGTTTGATTTTAGAGGCTGCATATTCATTAAACATCACTAGTGGTTATATTTCCTAAATGATGCCCATAGATTTCAACGGTTTCTACAGTGCTCACCTAGATCTGAAATACAGAATAGCTGTGACCTGCTCCTTTCATGACAGAGGCTTACTGACAGAGAAGAGTTTGAAAGCTCCCCCTACCCACCGGCAAAAAAAAAAAAAAAAAAAAGTGTGGTAAACCAAATAAGCCAGCTCCTCAGATGTAATTGTTCTTGTTAATTCATCGTGGGTCAAGTCCGTGATAGTTCATTCTGTTTCAACAGTATCAAATACTACTTTGTACCACCAGTTTTACACAACTCCCAACTGAACGAGGGGCCAGTACATATTAGCAACTTCTGCAGTGAAATTTCTCTCTGAAGTTTTTAAAACATCTCCAAATGTAAGAATAACTTCTGGACCCAAGAGATGGCTCAGGGGCAAAGGGTAAGGCTGCTTACCCAAGTTTGCGCCCAGAAACTCACATGGTAGGAGAAAATGGACTCCATCCAGCAAGTTGTGCTCTGACCCCAACATGAGCACTATGGTATATATGTGCATGCACGCACACAGACACTGGTGTGGGAGATCCTTCTGTTGTTTTTATTGGCTAATGAATAAAGAAACTGCCTTGGTCTATTGATAGGGCAGAACTTAGGTAGGTGGGGAAAACTGGACTGAATGCTGGGAGAAGGAAGACAGGAGGGAGAAGTCATGGAGCCGCCACCAGAGTCAGACATGCCGAAACTTTGTTGCCATGTGGCGATATACAGATTAATAGAAATGGGTTAGATTGAGATGTAAGAGTTAGAGCTAAGGGGCCAAGTAGGGATTTAATTAATACAGTTTCTGTGTGATTATTTTGGGTCTAAGCTATCCAGCTGGCTAGGAACCAACAATAGCCTGCTACTATACAAACACTAAAGAAAGGAGGAATGAAAATGTTTTAAAATAATTAAAAAGGAAAGCTTTAGGAATGATTTTGTATAGGAAGGACAATATTTCATTATTCTGTTCTTGAAGATAACCTGCCCTTCTCTTTCACAGTCTCGTTAGAACATACCTTTAAAGTATATCACCATTCTCTCAGATGACCATATAAATCACTACATTAAAAACAATTCCAGGTTGGAGATATGAGTCAGTGGTTAAGAGCTGCTTTTCCAAAGGATAAAGTTTCAGCTTCCAGCACCCACATGGTAGCTTAAAGCCATCTGTAACTTGGTCATCAGCTTATGCAAGACCCCCTGGTCCCAGCTACTGCTTTTGTCTTCTTTACTTCTTTTCTTATCTGCTCTGTTTCTCATGCTTGGGCCTCCCTCTTGACACCTTGCCACCCAGGACCTTTATTTCTGCCGGTTCAGAGAAGTTCCACAAGCAGCCATGTCTCTCTCTCTTTCCCCAACTTTAAATGTTTAGGATCTTCTACTGTGATTTTTTTTCTTCCCCCAAGTTTTAAACCAAACAGACTCAGGAATTACATAACTAAGGGTCTTTGTTTTATTACTGATAAAGTCTACCAATATGTTGTTTGATAGTAGACCTAAGCAGCTAACACTTCAACATAGAGTGAGCTACCTTGAATGACTGAGTCAACTCGAGAGGCCCAAGCCTACACTTCTTAGGCCCTTTGCTCCCTGGCAGGAAGTCGAGCAGAGCACCCACTCTTCTCTCCACACAGCTAAGGCGAAGTGAGGACCGGAAGGGGTGAGTGAAGTATCCTGCCTCCCGACCTTACCTGTTTGATGCTCAATCCTGTTCGATTCAGACATCAGTCACTCTGGTAGCATCCATTAGTGAAGACTATACGAGAGAGTGTAAAATGTAGCAGAGGCCAAAAACAGGGCTACTGTAGTGACAGGAAGCTTGGCGTCCTCAGTGAGCAGAAGGAAAGACATTTCTAAAGGGGTCAAAACTAAGGTTTGTTCTCTTAATAATCTACTTGACTCTAAGAAGTGTTCGCACACATTAGACATTCGGATTTCAGGAACCTCTTTCCTCTGTTTTGTAATCATCTTTTAGGAAGGAATTTTGATTGACCCCTTAGTTGCTTCCATAGGCCTACTATATGTTGCAGTCAGCTCTCAGTTCGTGGGGGTGGAAAGACCGCTTGCCATGAGTAAGGATACATCTTTCCAAGTCCCACCTCTGTGTTTGGGGTAGGTTACTGCAGTAATATGATCATTTTATTTAAATCTGACCATATGTACATACCACTAAAGTATAACTTTTATCTTTTCTCCCACAAATTAGGTGAATCTATTTTCTGCCTTTTGAATTTTGACCATGTCATGTAATGTGCTTAGGTAAATATGACAAAGGCAGAAATTTGTATTAATCATATGCTTGTTAAGGATGAAGCGGTGGCTTACTGGTTAAGAGCATTTGCTACTCTTGCAGAGGACCTGGGATCAGTTCCTAGCATCCATGTGGTAGCTCACAACTACCATTCAATCCAGATCCAGGAGATCAGACCGTCTGCTGGCCTCCGTGGGTTCCTGAACACACATAGTGGATGTAAATGCATTAGGTGTGCACGCACCCACATACACACAATTGAAAAATGAACAAGTATGCTTGCACATTGACCTTTATTCTCTCTTATAGAAAATGCTTTGAGTGTTTTGTTTTCAAGATTTAATTTTAATTACGTGTATGTGTGTTGTCTATGTGTGGATATTTGCAACATGGATACTGGGAACTGAGTCACGTCTTTGGAAAAAGGGAAACATTCCTTTTTTTTTTTCTCTCTCTCTCTCTAGATAGGGTTTCTCATGTAGCTATGGCTGTCCTGGAACTCACTCTATAGGCCAGGCTGGCCTCAAACTTAGAGATCTGCCTACCTCTGTCTCTGGAGTGTTGAGATTGAAGGCATGCTCCACCATACGGCCATTAAGCATTCTTTGTTTGTTTGTTCATTTGTTTGTTTTGAGAGACAGTTTCTCTGTGTAACAGCCCTAACTGTCCTGGAACTGGCTCTTGTAGACCAGCTGGCCTCAAACTCACAGAGATCCACCTGCCTCTGCCTCCACCTCCCGAGTGCTGAGAGTAAAGGCATGCATCACCACTGCCTGGCACAACCAGTAAGCATTCTTAACCGTGGTACTTCTCTCCGGACCATTTCTAGTAATGTTTATGAAGGTATGTGAATAAAGTGTGGGCAGAGTGTAGTTGGGAGACAGAGGAGATAGATCTCTGTGATGTCAAGGTCAACCTGCAGCGCTATCTGTGTAGTGAGTTACAGGACAGCCATAGATAAAGAGGCCCTGCTGGTGGGGGGGGAGGGCAGGGGAAGTAAATGAAGCCGGAGGTAACTGAAATGGGAGTCTGAATTTTTTACATATAGAATGTTATTTGTATAAAATTCACGGTAATGTGAATGTATTAATAATTAAATGTTAACTTCATGAATGAAATTCTGTCTTTAAACTTCAACTATGAAGCATTAAATCCTTTTTACCACCAATCTTTAATATAGCCTGAGCTATATCAAAAGTAAATACAGTTTCACAAGCCCAGACTAACAGTTATACTCTCAGCTAACCGCTGTAACTGTATTTATTCATTCATTCTGTCCTTTTACCTGCTCTAGGAAGGTGGGCCCATGTCCTAATATGACCTTTTAAGTGACTCTGTCACTCATTTGAGCGTCCACGAGAATTGAATAAAAAATTTTAAATTAATGAGTAGAGTTTCAGAGATCAAGTAGTTAAGCACAAGTCAAATATTACACAAAAATAAATTTGAAAAGGCTTTAATCAGGAATTAACCATAGGCCTGAAGAAATGGCTCAGTGGTTAAGAGCACTCGCTGCTTTTCCAGAGGACTTGGTTCAATTTCCAGCACCCATGTGGTGATTCACAACTGTCTGTAAGACCAATTCCAAGGGGTCTAGTGTCCCCTTCTGGCCTTCAGGGATAGAGGCACACATGTGGTGCTAATAAAATACATGCAGGGGTGAAAATACTGATATATATATATATATATATATATATATATATATTAAAATAAACATATATAATGTTTTAAAAAAAGAATCAACTGCAAAATAAAGCATTAAAATGTCTAAGAATATTATATAATAGTAATATGCATGCCAATTTAAAAGCATTTATGGGCAAAATATGCAGCAAATAGCCAGGTGTGATGGTACACACCTTTAATCCCAGAATTTGGGAGACAGAGCTCTGGACTTCATGGCCAGTATGATCTACATAGCAAGTTTCAGGCCAGCAAGAGCTTTTAAGTAAGATCTTTTCAAAAAACAAAGAAAGAAAGAAAGAAAGAAAGAAAGAAAGGAGGGAGGGAGGGAGGGAGGGAGGGAAAGGAAAAGAGAAAGAGAGAGAGGAAAAATGACTCAGTGTTGAGTGGGTAACCCAGATCCAGGAAGACACTTATCACATGTACTCACTCATAAGTAGATTTTAAACATAAAGCAAAGAAAATCAGGTTACAAACCACAATTGCAGAGAACCTAGACAACAATGAGGACCCTAAGAGAGACATACATGATTCTAATCTACATGACAAGTAGTAAAAGACAAGATCTCCTGAGTAAATTGGGAGCATGGCAACCATGGAGAGGGTTGAAGGGGAAGAGAGAGGCAGGGAGGGGAGCAGAGAAAAATGTAGAGCTCAATAAAATCAATAAAAAAATGGATCAGTGGTTAAGAGCCCTTCCTGTTCTTCCGAAGGACCTGGGTTCAGTACCAGCACCTACGTCAGGCAGTTTACAGCCTCCTGTAGGTCTGCTTCCCAGGGATTCGACACCTTCTCCTGGCCTCCTTTGCCTCTGTACCCACATTGTGCTCTCAGGAGCACAAACATACACACATAAAATAAATAATTTTTAAAAATAGGCAAAATGTGAATAAAGAAGAATTTTATGTTACCCAATCACAAAAGATAAAACAGAAAATAAAAACATTGAATATGCAGTGATGAAGTGGTCTTTATGGTTTCTTTCCCACAGGAGTACAAACACTACTGGACAGAGTTGAGAGGAACCACACTTTTCTTTTATACCGACAGAAAAAGCACAATAGTAAGTAGTTTGACATGTTCACCTGGTTCAACTTTTCAATAGACCATTGGCATATAATCTATTATCCGTTTTCTTTCATTAACCCCAAAATAAAGATGTTTTAAAAATGTAAATCTGAATGGGCCTATCAATTACAGTGGGATCAGAGTGACAATTCCCTGAACAACTCAGAAGGTGTCAACTCATGTTTATAACTTTTTATTCTTATCTTCCTGACTAGATAATAAAATCTTAGCTTAAAAGTAGAAATTTTAGCCTTTGGGTATAAATTGCTTAATGCAAATGTTAATTTCCATTTCTAGCAAATCTTAGAAAGCTATGGAATGCAATCATAATCTGAAAAAAAACCCAAAATGATTCCCATAGTATCATAACATATGATGTTGCAATTTAACTTTCCTGGACAAAAGCATACCCTCTAAAAGCAGATTCCTAAGTGCTATGAGAATAATGATGACGTGAGCCTTCAATTAATTCTTTTGCTTTTTAGCTGTGTATTAGAACTTCCCAGGGACACCAGGAAAGCAAAGACCCTGGCCTAAACCTTGTGTGATTTACAGTAACCAAGTTCACTTATCACTTCAAGAGGCAGTACAGCTTGGTGATTGAGAGCTTGGTATGCCCAGAAAGATTGCCCTAATATTTTTTTTCTTTTTCTTTCTTTTTTTTGACTTGTCGAGACAGGGTTTCTCTGCGTAGTTTTGGAGCCTGTCCTGGAACTCCACTCTGTAGACCAGGCTGGCCTTGAACTCACAGAGATCTACCTGTCTCTGCCTTCTAGGATTAAAGGCATGTGCCAGCACTGCCCGGCTTAGACTGTCTATTATTTTAATGCTGGCCTTGCCATCATCAAGTGGGATCTTGAAATAATCGCCAAACCTCTCTGTGACTCGCTGCATAAGAAGGGGCAAGGTAGACAACAAATGACATTGCAAATTGGGCGGTTTGGAGAATGTTTAATAAAATTCTAATAAACATCCAGAGCAGTGGGCAGCATAGTAGAAGTCTGGTGCCCTGAAGCTAAAAATAGTGCTCTTTGCCACATGGGGAGCGGGAGGAAAGAGTGGGTGAGTTTGTACTTAAGGGAAGCATGTCATTTGATGGAGCTACACTCCATCCTCACTCTGACCTCCTGCTGAAGGTCCCCAATGGCCCAAGCCAACATGAAAGCAAAGGCTATGCCAAACTGATGTCATGGTGCAGTGTTGGCAGGTCAAAGGATACAATTGAATCTGCAGGAACAAATAACAAAGAGTCACATAGGAAATCTCCAATACTCCTATTTTTCAAATCTCTGCATCTAGGATGAAATCCATAGTCTATCTCATAAGGCTATAAAAGTGATCAGGTGAGACAGGACATAGAAAGATTTCAGTCAGCAGACTGCGCATAGTAAGCCCTTTCATTGTTTACATATATTAATATATATTAACTACTTAATTTCCAAGCAAACTCTGTAAATTTGAATTCCGGTTTTCACTGTTATGTTTGGTTTTTGATTAAGCCTTCTGTGTAGGCCGTTCTCTTACCTCGTGATCCTCCTGCCTCAGTCTCCTAAGTACTGAGATTGCAAGCACACACACCACTAGACACCACTTAATCCCTATTTTTAAATGAAAACTGTCAAGTTTAAGGAGTAAGAAACTGTACACAATCATACTTACCTGGCAGGGTTGATACTGTCATCATGAAGATGATTTTCCAAGAACAATCCTTCTCCATTGTATTCTAGATTTGCTTAACCCCTGAAATTTCCCCAGATGTGCCAAATGTGGGGAACTGACTGTGTAATTTGTGTTAGTAGAATATTGAGTTTGCAGCTTCCCCTAAAAAAAAATTTGTATACATCCGTGCGCATGTGCGTGCGTGCGTGCGCGCGCGCACACACACACACACACACACACACACACATACTATGGTACAAGGTTATACAGCTAGTAAAAGGGGTGTAATCCAGGCGTGGCTTGTGAGCTGGCGGTCTTTTTAGGCACTCTGTCACAAGGAGGTCAGAACAAAAGGCTGAAGAGCTGTCCACCTACCAATCTTGTTAAAAGAGGATGAAAATCCTTGGGGAAGTTTTCTGGTAGACTGTCTCAGTAGAAACCCAGGGATAGACCAACTGAGAAAGCCAAGCATTTGGTCAGCCTGCAGCAGGGAACAGTTTAAAAACGACTTTACATCTCTAAAAAGCTAAGAGGAAGTCATGTGGAAAGATCACCGAATTTGCTCAGTGTTACTCCAGAGAAAAGAGTCCTGGACCAGTGGATGGGAAGTATCTAGGGGAAAAAAAATGCAGCTCAATACAAGAAACACTTAGCAGGGCTCTTTCAGCAGCGTGAGTTTGACTGTGAGCTTGAAGACAACACTGAGAGCTGATTCCCACAAATGGGTTAGACAGATGACCTTTAAGGCTCTTTACAGCCCACAGTTAAAACTAGAAGATACGACTTCCCTTTCTGTAACTGATGCATTGGCACCGTTTGTTACAGCAAAACTCACTGAGCCTGATCTAAGCAGTCCCATACGAAGGTGTGGTTCAGTTCTGGTTTTGTTCCCTTGTGTTTATCCTTCCATTTTTAATTTTTCTTTGTTCCTTGAAGATAAATAGGCTAAACCAAGTTTTGCCTCCACCCCATCCATATAGAAATCACCCATAAACTATTCTTCTGTTTTTAAGCCCTACATTATCCAGAAAAGTAAAATGAGCCAGGAAAGTGAAGTGAGACACAAAAGATATAGTACAGTGAATTATACTAGACACAATCAAAAAAAGCTAAAAGGAGAGAAAAAGAAGTGAAGAATGGGCTAATCTGTCAAAAAACAACTAACGTACAAACCATTAAACCCCTATTAGGTCTTTCTAATACTGGAGGGCAACGTTCACCTGTTGTATACAGAGCAACTGCTCAGAATGTTTCTATTACACCTGAGAAACAGAAATGTCTTAATAGGTACTTCATAACCAGTGGCGTTTGGTGAATGTGATAAAATATGACTTTCTAAAATAAAATGTTAGATATGAACATATGTTTATAGACTCAGAAGCATAACTTCTGCAAAGATGTATGGCACTCAACTACAAAAATATTTAATATTTGTTTGCTGTAACTTTTTTATTATGAATGTTGGGTCCCTGGGGGTCGTGCAAAGATGGAGACAGACCACCGAAGTCTAATTAACCAGAAGCAAATTTTATTCAAGGAAAAAAATTTAAAATTTTTAAAAAAGTAAATTTCCATGGGGCACAAGAAGCTTATCAGCTAGCTGAGATCACAGCCAGAGATGGACTTGTAAGGTTTTTTGCAAAGGTCTTTTGCAAAGGCAAAACTCCTCCTTTTATAGCAACTGAACTCCTCCTTTTATAAAAGCATTAGGCAATAACAAAAGAATTTTTACAATCTCAAGCTAAAACTCAGATACGAATTGCTCTTCTTTGCGATTTTTGTTAATAAGTTTTTGTTGCTATTGTTATTAAACTAGTGTTTAAACCATTGTGTCTCTCTGGTACTTGCTGATGGTGTTTATGGGTCAACATAAAACCAAAAAGTCAAAAGTCACGTATATCCCATCATATAAAAGTTAACTCAGCTCACATCAATTGCTGGTCATGAGTGGCCAGGGGGTTGTCTTAAGGGTAACTATCAGTTTGCAGACCTGACCCTCAGTTTGTAGAGGGATGCTTCAGTCTTGTAAACAGAGCGGCCAGTGGCAAAGCAAAGTAACCCACTGTTAATAGTTAATCCTTAAAGTGCTGAGAAAGTTGCCAGCAGCCTGTTCTTATTTTCCTAGGCTTACAACTTTATATCTATTTATCTTTACATATTTTTGGAATCTACATTTTTATAGTCTTATTCTTGGACTCTTCAATGACAATAATTCTTTATTGTTAGACATTTGATTCTCATATAATGCTTGCCTTGATTTTTGTTAAACTGCTCCTTTGATGAATTAGACATTTTTTGACTTCTGAAAAAGTATTTTGCCACAACCCTCCCTCATTTACAAGGAGACAACTTTAGATACAATTAATTAATAAAGTTTCATCTGGGTTATTAATATTTTCTCTCTTATTTTCTCAAGTTTAGACAGAGGGCCAGAAAAATCAGTAGACCTTAAGGCAACTGTGGCTTGATTTTATACAGTGTCTGAATAAATCACTTTATCTTTTCTATTTTATTTTATTCTATTTTATAAAGAAAAAGCAAAAACAGAAAAAATATGTAATGGAGAATGCATTCATATCCAGAGTATTTATTATTAGAAAGGCTGCCTTTGGGAAAAGCAACAAATCAATAAAATATCCATTCATTTTTCAATGGTTTCGTAATTTCCACAGTGTAAACATTCCTGACATGACAGATTCAACCTATCAGTGTGACTGTATTGAGCATGAAGAATGAAGAAATGCACAGAGCTGTTGCATGCTATTTATGCCACACAGAACAAAGATGTAAATAATATTGATGTAAATATATTGCAGTAAAATATTGCAATATAATTAGAAAAATGAAATTTGCATTTTGACTTTATTATAAATTTATTTTAATATAATATTTTATTTACTGGTATGTTAATATAACTAACTTTTAATAATAGCTAGGTTAACCAACTGCAAAATTCTCAAAACTTTAATTTGGCCTTTGCAAATTTGTATGGGTCCAGTCCAGCACACCATCATACAATGTGTTTACACATACTGAAAGACCCCAACTCGGCTTTAGCTGCAAGTTACATCATTTTGCAAAGGTTCAAGACAAACAAGCTCAGTTAAAAAAATCACCAGAATGTTGAGCAAAGCAGGATACCTGAGGTCAGAACGAGGGCAGCCTTATCGGGCTGCAAGACAGGAGATTTATGATCAGACATCTGGCCTGGGATGGGAACAAAAACTTCAAAGACAACCATATGTACTTTAAGATAGGGTCAGGTCAGTTATCTGGTTTCTTTGATCCAGGCCAAGGACCATGGGACCTGCCCTCAAATTCACCCTGGCCTCATTCAAACTGGCCAATGAGATCCCTGTACCCACGCTCTGCTTCTGTACCTTGTTTCTGCCTACTCCAAACCCTATATAAGCTACCCCAAAACGCAGCTCAGTGTGCTCGGTTCTCCATGTGACTGCAGCACCCACAGGCCTGTGTGAACAATAAAAATTGCCTCTTGTTGTTGCATCCAGTGGCTCTCAGACCTGGTTCTTGGGCAAGGGTCTCCACGCATGTAAGACACCCTCAGGGTGCTCTTTCAATACTTTCTGCTATCAAGCAAAATGTCAATATGTTTAAAAACTATTATTTTCCTTCATGCTAGAACAAGCGTATCTTACCCAGGACATAATTTAACAGCATTTTCTTTTGTCTTTGCAGTATGTTGGCAAGTTAGACATAATAGACCTTGTATGCCTTACTGACCAAAATTCAACTGAGAAGAGCTGTGCAAAATTCACTCTTGTTCTGCCTAAAGAGGAAGTGCAACTGAAGGTGAGTGAGGAACAACAACCTGTAGAGAGTAAAGCTGATAGTAGCCCTTACCTTTACTATCCAGTGGTTGGGATTACAAGAGGGGCCGAGTCTTAATACTTCGCTGGTATTTCCTGCCCTTTGCCAAGGACTACAGTGTTCTGAGTTACATTTTAGAAGGGCAGATTTACTTGTTTAGTATATAAGCACAATGAAACCTTAGACTTCTGTCCTCTGACAAAGTCAAGGATTCCACCTGGTGTTTTTCAAGGTTGTCCCTGAATTAGCCTGGTGAGCTAATTACCCAACAAAGAGCATCATAACAAAGAGAACATCTTGGAATTGATAAAGATAAAATCCGTAGAGGCTCCTGGGAAGCTGCTGGTTGCCTCTGAGAGCTGTGAGGGTTAGAATGAACCAGCATTGAAGCAAGCTCCCTGGAGAACTCTTGGGTGTGGAGTGAAGAGTCAGAGGAAACAGACGCTGAGGTAGACAGTTGCTGCTTTATGCAACATCTGTGAAACATAGGCCAGCTACTTAACCTCTTCGCTCATTTGTTTCCTGAATTATCAGTAAGTCTCTGCTCAAATGTAAGGCTCTCGCTGTAGTCCACCTGGAACACTTTTACCAAATTGTAACACCTTGTCTACCTAGCTGTTGTTGAGGTCTGAATGAGGAGGATGACTCAATGGGCTTCTAAGATTGAATGCCTGGTCCCCAGTTGGTGAACTATTTGAGAAGGATTAGAAGTTGTGGCCTTGTTGGAGGAGGTGTGCCATGGAAGGGTGGGCTTTAAAGTTTCAAAAGCCCACACCAGGGCTAGGCCAAGGCCCCACCCCCAGTCTGCTGCCTGGGGATCAGGGCTGTAAAGCTCCCAGCGGCTGTTCCAGTGCCTTCCGTCTGATTCCTGCCATGATGATCATGGACTAACTCTATAAACCTGTAAGCAAGCCTGCAGTCCAATGCTTTCTCTTGTATGACGGTTGCCTTACAACCACGATGCCTCTTCACAGTAACAGGACAGTGACTAAGACCTCTGCCCTCTTGTCACATTTTCAGTTTGCCTTACTCTGCTCTAGACTTTATATTTCCTAGTTGTTTCCTTCCAACAATATGAAATGCACTATTACATTGATTATTTATTCTTCCTTCTTATATTCCTTTCTTTCTTTCTTTTTCTTTTCTTTTCTTTCTTTTTTTTTTTTTGAGACAGTTTCTCTGTGTAGCCCTGTCTGTCCTGGAACTCATTATGTAGACCAGGCTGGCCTTAAACTCAGAGATTTGCCCACCTATGCCTCCTGGTGCTGGGATTAAAGGTGTGCGCCTTCACTATCCAGTCCTTGCTATTCCCAATACCTATACTTAGCAATATATTATATTATATATATATATATATATATATATATCTTTTAATTGAACTGATACATAAAACGACATTAAAAACACCTTTTTGTTGAATTACCTTGAAGATTGTCAAAAGACAAAATTACAACCATATAAAGATCTTAATTAGTTTTATAGTCTACTCAAGAACCAGTTTTTTTATTCTATAGAATAAAATATTATAGTTATCTGAAAAGAAAAATACTCATAGACAGGGAAGGCTAAATAAAACAAATTAAAAACCAGTAATAAAGTTAGCTGCTCATTTCAAACGTTTCCATGGTAGGCAGAAATAGGACGGCCAATGGTACAAAAATGAGTAATTGACATTAGATTTCTGCATAGAGAGGGAACAAAGTGAAATTGGCCTGTACGGGAAATGTGGCTGTTATGTTCCTTTCCTGATTTCCTGAGAAGGCCAGGCAACAGTTTTGCTTTAGTGATGTGGAACATTAGCACAGATGACTCCATTTTTATTTCTAGTGCGGACTCTGCAGGACCTCAGTGCAGAAACCTAGAAACAATGGCCACCTATAATATTTATTTGGCATGGTTAAGCTGGTAATGCCTATGAAGTGCTTAGCACAGTAGCTAGCATTGTAAGTGCTCAAAAGACATTGGCTGTTATTAGTAGTAGTAGTCAAAGCAGTCTTTGAAGTTAAGAATTGGACTCTTTTGCATTTGTTCCCCCAAATTTCAAGAAAGACAATGGAGAAAGTAGGCCTTAAGTAGCATAAAGTAGAGATAAATTTACTATCATTTCATTTTTCAGTTGGGCATAAATTTGTACAATTGTACTTGCTTAGTAAGTAAATAAAGACATACATTTTCAGTTTTGTTCTAAAAAATCGTGTATGTGTGCAAATGATTTTTGTGTGTGAATGCATGTACATGAATGCCATGGTGCATGTGTTGCACAGCGAGTGTGTGGAGGTTAAAGGACAATCTTGGGTCCTCATCTTCTACCTTCTTTGTGACAGGGTCACTTATTTATTTGTTCAGTGCTGACAATGTCAGGTTAGTTGGAAAGAATTTCTAGAGATTCTCCTGTTTCTTCCCCGTGTTTTGTCATAAGTACACTCTGATTATGTGTCTCACCGTGTCCAACTTTATGTGACTTCTGGGGATTTGAATTCAGATCTTAATAGTTGTGTAGCAAGTACTTTACTCATTGGGCCCTCCCTACCCCCATCATTTATATTTCTGTTCATCTATTAAAAAGGGACTGAAATAAATAAGATAAATATGTTATTTATTCTTGCAGCTGATTTAACACAATTTGAGCTTTTTTTTAAATTTGCAGTTTTAATTTTGTGTTATTTTACAAAGTGCCTAAACAGAAGAATATGCATTTTTTGCCAGTCTTGCTAGTTTTTTCTTTTTTTGCATGTAAACGTGCATGTGTGCATGCCTACTTGAATGTGCATGGATATACATGTGTGTAGGTGCACATGCACGTGTGTGCTTATTTATGGGGTGACCAGAAGTTAACAGCATGCCTTTTCTCATTCACTTCCATCTTACACATTGAGGAAGCACCTCTCACAAGGACCCATGGCTTCTCAATTTGGTTAATCCAGCTAGCCAGTTTGCTCTAGAGCTCCTCCGTCTTCCCCTCCCAGGTGCAGGGATTACAGTTGAGCTGCCATGCCCACTTGTCATTTTACTTGGGTTTCAGAGGTCCGGGCTCTGATCTTCACATTTGTATGACAAATGCTTCACCCAAAGAGTCATCTCCTTAGCCTGCAATCTTGTAAGCTTGTGATGATGGCACACCTCTCTTGCCATATAACCATCGTGTGAAATTCTTGTTCCTTAAAGTTAGCACAGATCATTCACTAATTATGCATTTTCTCCTTTACCCTTGTTTTCATTTTTAGACAGAAAACACAGAAAGTGGGGAAGAATGGAGGGGCTTCATTCTTACAGTAACAGAGGTAAGAAGTCCATTCAATTCTTCTGCTGAACCAGGTCTCAACAGCCTTTGGTGGCCTCAAACTTATGATCCTCTTGTCTCAGCCTCCCAGGTGATGAGATTACCATGGTGAGTCACCATTCCCAGTAGAAGATCATTACAACCTGCTAAGTCATTTGTTGGTCCAATAGTTTCTAACATCACTGCAACTGTGTACATTAAAGTGGTTGAGGATATGAAAACTAGAAAAGGCCAGTAGTAATCCATGCTTTTATTTCTGAAAGTTACATTTTTATCAGGTGGGTTGAGAAGCTAAAAACACTCCGCAAACATCTGAACCCATGTCATCTTGAGATAATGGTTCTGGTGAGCAGGGGATGAGGGAGATCTACTTATGACATCTTTTATCTTTTCGGTTGTCAGCATTAGGCTTATGGCTAAGTCCTACCGCCTTGTTTTTTTTTCAGGCTGACTTTTGTAGTTTTTGTAGTTTATTATAAAATAATCTCCATCATTTCTCTTCTACATTTATAAAAGGCTATACTGCACTAGTTTTGTGAATGAAATAGACAACATGAAAGGGAGAAACCATCAAAATGAAAGATCATCTTTAAACACTTGTTACATGTGTTTTAAAATAAAAGGGTGCTTACCTGCTCAATGGCAGCATCTTATCAGAGGCAAATAGTGAGACCCATTGCTCAGAGTGAGCCTACTGCAGCGGGATTAAGTACCGTTAGTTTGAATAAAGCCACAGCAGCAACTGTCTTCAAAACATGAGATACTTTGGTCACAAGCGCCATATTAACTTAAGACACCAGGCTCTTTAAAACTTTTAGAGGAAATGAAGTTTCAGGTTAGGCTCAAATGACCGTAAACCCACAAGAGTTCCGAACAAAGCCTTTGTGGTCGTAAAATAGGCTGGACTCTTTACCAAGACATTGGTGCTGATTCTTCATATCAACCACCCTTTTACAGGAAAATGGGTGGAGCTTCAACTGCCAGATAGGGTGTCCCTCTGAGGCCTTAAAAGAGATTTTTAAACATGTGACGAGCATATGCCTGGGGCTGGAGAAGAGACAGGAAAATTGTGTTTTCTTCCTCTTACAGAAAGGTCCCAAAGGTTGCCGTTGGGTGTTTGTAAGCACCCCAAGCGTAAGCAACTAGGCAGCCACACTGAACCTACTGGAAAAGTCCTGATATCTCTTCTTGACTCACTGATAATATTTGAAGTTTTGGCCGTGTCCTTTATATTTTTCCTCTTTCAAAGATAGAAATGGTTTTGAAATCCAACATTGACATATTATATAATATAAAATATATGTGATGTGAATTTTTAAGTTAAGACACTTTGTCTTTTATTTTATACTCTGTAAATATTTGGGGCATAGCATCAAATCACTGTATGTGAATAAATCATTTGTAAAAATATTCCACTGCACTGACTCTTCCTCCAAGAGAGCATAATGAAGCACTAGACTGGGTATGAAAGCAATTCAGTAGGACAGATTTGGGTGACTCAATCAAAATCGCACTTCCAGAAGGGAAAAACAACAAAAGCATGCAGAGATGTAACAACATGCTAAAATATAAACGGACGCTATAAACAGACCAGAGTGTAAAGCTGCTGTTCCTACGCCCATCTCAAACCCATGTTTGATAATAACGTATCTCCCTGGAGCTCCTAAGCCTCTTGGGCATTGCTAGGTGAATGAGTTCAGGATAAGAAAAGAGAGATTGATTGCTACTTAGCTTGCAGTAAAAAGTACGGGTACTTTGTTTGCCCTGAGGCCAAATCAGAACAGAAGACTTCAGCCAGGCATAGTGGTGGTGCACACCTTTAATGCCAGCACCGGGGAATTGAGGCAGCTAGATAGGTCTCTGTAAGTCTGAGGCCAGCCTGGTGAACAGAGTGAGTTCTAGGACAGCCAGGGCCACATAGAGAGGCCCTGCCACAACAGAGAACAAACAACAAACAAAACTGAAGACTTCTTAGAAGAAGGCTGGACACTCCCAACAGGTTCTAGTCAATACAGGGCCAGTTCTAGGATGTCCGCGTTAGACTGAAATCTTCTATTTATTATTTTATCCATTCATCTCTGACAAGTAACTAAAACTCCTCAGGGCCAACAAACTCATCTTTACTAAAGCCAGTATGCTGCTTAGCTATGGTTGTCGTTTGCCTACTGTTCTAACTGGTTTCAGCTGTCAGTTCCTCAACACGTGTCACTTCTGCCGGGGCAAGTGATTAGACTACATGAAGTCTTAGAGAGAGAAAAGAAAAGAAGGCTTGAGACAGAGCGGTTGCCAGTTATGCCTGCGGTGAAAGAGAAGGAGCCAGAACAGGATGATGTGGATGTACCAAACCCAATGCCAGCGTAAGTTTACAATTGACTTGTTCATTTATTAAGACTAATTTCTAACCATCAGGTAGTGTTACCCACTTGAACTTGCTACACGACAGGTAGTAAGTATCTTGAGGATATTTAGTCTCTGAACATCAGCCACATTTCCTCTCCTATGTCAAGATCAGCATCGTGCACACTTGAACTAACCTTACCACAGAGGAAATCCCCTTCTACCCACATATCTAGACTAAATACATATCTTTCCGGAGCTCAAACCTAAATTAAAGTTGCTGTGAATAAGGAAGGAAAAGATGTGCATTTGTGTCTCCATAACTGGATTATTTCTCATCATTAATACCAAATCTTTAAAAAAAATCTTAGAATATTAAATTCAGTTGATTGTCAGTGAACATTGAACTTGGCCTCTCAGAAAACTCTTATATAAAGTATTCAAAACAGTAATGGAACAGCACCTGGATTCTGGAGCATCCTACATGAGTCTTTTGATTGTTGAAAATATTATGGATCTTATCTTCTGGAAATCTTGGTGCTCTTGTCATTAAAGTGTGTCCTGGCTCCATCTCTGACCTTAGGTTCTAATGCACAATCTTCCTTACTAAACTGGAATCTGCTAATCAATATTGTTAGCTTAAACTAGACAAGTGACCAACTCACAGAATAAAAATAAGATGGACTGCTTTTTGTTCTTTTTCCCCCAACACAAGAAGTAAGGTGCTTAGTACCGATGAATAAAGAGAAGAGTCAAACTAATTCTTGTCACAACACTTGAAGATGTTTGCCCCTAACATTTTGGGTGTATCACATACAAAGTTGTACATGACTACTATATTTCACTAAATATAACATGTATTATAAAAACAAGAAGTGCCTAATTTCTTAATTTTGTGTCTAAGAATACTACTGGTGCCATTTTAACATAAATTATATATCAAGAGTGGTGGGCATGCTTTTAATCGGGGTCTTTGAGTTTCGGGACAGCCTAGTCTACAGAATGAGTTTCAGGACAGCTGGGGCTATATGGCTATACAGATAAATTCTGCCTCAAAAATACCAAACAAAAACTCCACAAACAACAAATTATACTAATGAAGTCAGTTCTGATATAATCTTAATGTCAGTGGTTTAAAACAGAGCCCCACTAAGCTGTGGTGGTGCACACCTTTAATCTCAGCCCTTGGGGTGGGGAAAGCAGGTGGATCTCTGAGTTTAAGGCTTGCTGGTCTATACAGTGAGTTTCAGGCCATTCAGGGCTACATATCGAGGCCCTATCTAAAAAAAGAATAATAAACAGATTAACAACACAAATAGATCTGCAAGGGGAGTCTTGGCACATTCTAGAGTCCTGAAAGAAAGCACCAACAAATTAATCAAAGACCCTGTTGTGAACTGAGACTGGGGATATGTTGTTAGCTGTCATAGGTTTTCAACGGTAATCATATTATACATGGATTAGTAGATTTCTTTTCATGTGCTCTTTGCTTAAAAGGTAGCTCTATCTCTTGAAGTGTTTAGCTAGCATTATTTTCAAGTAATAATCTTCATCAGTTAAAAAAAAAATCTGTCTTCCTTTTCATCTCACCTTCACAGATGTTTCTATGCAGTTTCCCGGAAAGAAGCAACTGAGATGCTGGAGAAGAATCCTTCCTTGGGAAATATGATCCTGAGGCCTGGCAGTGACAGTAAAAACTACTCCATCACTATCCGACAGGAGATAGAGTACGTTCGGTTAATCTGGTTAGCATACTGTTAGGAGCATGGTATTCCGGTCAGTACCTGGTCCGTGCTCTGCAAGCCTGAGAAGTAGTGTGGCACAAGCAAATCTCGCTTGTCACAGGGAACAAAGAGAACAGATCTGGGGTTGCTGCTGTTTTCATATACAGTGTTCACAAAGACACTCAGTTAATTTAAGCAGAGACTCAAAGGAAGTGAGGGACCAAACCATGCTAGTAGCTGGGGAAGACCATTCCAGGCAGCCAGTGCACATGCCCAGAAGCAGAATACCTCTCTTGTTCAGGAAGTCGAAAGTGTCTGCATACTTTACCTATAAAAAGGCCTAGTGAAGAGCCTCTTGCTAATATACATATATATATATATATATATATATATATATATATATGTATG